ATATATAAGTTCGTGTTCACTGTGAAAAAGAGAAAATATGTTTTTTTCTTCTCTCTTTTCTCTCTTCACATATGATAAAACACGTTCTTATTTTTCTATCGTGTCATCGATATAAGGAACATTTAGTGGGTAATACTAAAACGCTGAATTTTTTTACTGAATGCTGAATTGCTGAACGACGCTGATTGGCTGACTTCAAAACATGGATTTCTGCTGATAAATTCAGGATTATGATCGATACTGTGACGTTTTTGACATACTAATTTGTACTTTTCTGAAAAACTAAAAATGATACAAGGTTAATTCTTGCGGCAATCAAAGCGTCTCAGTGTCCTTTACTTATGGTGTAAAAATCAAAAAATTTGATTCAAGTTCAGAGTCAGCAGATAACTTTTACGGGCTGTGACACTGACAAAAAAAGACCCTTATTTTTGAGCGATGGTAGTAAATCTGTTATTTCCTGCGAATGTATGCAGGTGAGAAAAATGTGTCTATGACAAAGTTTATGCAGGAGTTCACGGCGCACCTCAATAACTGCATTTTATCAACGTGACGCTGTGACGCACTTTTTTGTCAGTGTATTTTGTGGCACCCAGCGACCTCAAAATTTTTTTATTTTTGCCAAAGATCTTTGTATATTCTCCCTATTAATGTGAAAATTGGAGCTGGAAACTTTTTTCACCGGCTGGGAACTTGCCGGAAACCTGGAGAGCTCTGGAAGGCATAGGTTTGGATCCGAAAATTAACTTTCAAAACAAAATGAGCCATTTTGTAGCGAATTCAATTCTCTATCGAATGATGTAATTTTTTAACCTTTTAAACAAATTTTCTAGGTGAGAAAATCGAAATTAAACTTTGTAAAAAATTTAAATTTAAAACTTTTTGCTGAAAATAAAATTTTCATCGCTCAAGAATATCAAATTCGTAATCAGCGTGAAAAACTGCATCTAGTGATGTACTCAGATAGTGACTTCAAAGAAAATAAAATTTTTAAAACTTAATCAGCGAAGTGTCGCGTTATGTGGACAGCTGAATTAAAAAATTAAACATAAGCAGATTAAAATGAAATTAAAGACAAGAAGAACTGCTCAAATGAATAGAAAGAACTGCTTTTTGCTTTAAGTTTAAGCATAGTTTGAAGTATCGCAACATGAATTTCTCGGAACTTTTCACCAGAATTAGCGTAGCTTTTGATTTGATAACCATATTCTACCTGTTTTGTTTTTTTATATTCCAGATTGTTTCGATGAGCCTTCCTTTCGATTTTCTCATCATTAATTCATGCACAAACACTTCTTTTTCAATCTCCTTTATTGAATAAAAAAAGATGAGTAAGTAAGAAACGTCTGGGTTACTTTAACAAGCTTTGACGCTGACAGTAGAATCGTTGTTTGTTCTCTCTTCCTTACCCGCACTAATTTCATGTTGACGTAATTTGTCTAACTAACTTGTCTTATCTATTTTAGGTAATATCATTGTCGATTTAGAGAAACCTACGATTTTGGAATTACTAAATACGTTGAAATCGGCAGAAAAATTAGATAAATTACCACAAAATATTGAAAACAATCATGTTTATCGACTGTGTTTAATCGAGAAATGCAAAGGTAAGTAAAGTTAAATGTTTTTTTTTGGAACTGCGCAGAATATAGAGAAGATTTACACGGTAAAAACAGTGTTTTCATTACACATGGCTACATTTTTGCTTTAGATGATTACAAAGCAGATGGATTCTTATGGAAAAATATTGGCTGGACATTTTACTCAAAAGCAGGCCAAGAATTTCGTAAAAGTTATTTCAAATGTTCTACATCTATCAAAGAAAACGAAAATAAATTTAAAAAGCACGTCTATATTTCAACAGCAAATAATTTGGATATTATAGTTATCTATCTTGGTAAGATTTGTCTCTGATTCTTAAAATTAGTAAACGTTTGTTTTCTCATACTTCCAGGTAACAAAGAGTATGCCGAATTACGTCCACATGGCAACGTCAAAAAATCAAAAATTGCTGCACCATTTCGACGAACATTACCATCTACGTTATCAGAGATAAGAGAAACCGTACAGCACAATACCGATGCGAAAGTTTACAAACTCATCGTCGCAACATCTGAAACTGAAACAAGTCGTCCAAGAAATATTAAACAAGTAAACAACCTACGTCAAGGTTTTCTTAGTAAACATCGTCCAACAAATGATGAGTTATTGAACGTTATACTTATGTCATACGAAATCAATGATTATATTAGATTAGCTTCCTTTCCAAATCTGACGGTTGTTTTGATCCATAAAGAAGCTGAAGAAACATTCCAATATTTATTAGATACAACCGATGAATATATACAATTATATTATGACACAACGTTCAAAATCGGGTCGTTTTATTTATCAGTAAGTTGAATTGTTGGTTTTTCTTTGACGTTTACGAACGTGTGTTCGCATAGGTGGAAACAAGTCCACTCCGTTTCTCCAAAGAAGAAAAGTGCATTTACGAACACGTCTTCGCAAATACACTTTTTGCCTTTACGAACACATGTTCGCAAATACACTTTTCTTCGTTCTGGATAGAAGTTGAATTTTGTTCGCCTTTACGAACACGTCTTCGTAAAACTACTTCGCAAAGAGAAATTCATTTTCCTGTCTATATACTGGAATTTTTTTGCTGTTTGCGAACACGTCTTCGTCAATGAGAAATAGAACCTTTACGAAGACTTGTTCGCAAATAGCAAAACTATTCCTGTGTCAGGAAAATAAATTTCCCTTTGCGAAGTAGCTTTACGAAGACGTGTTCGTAAAGGCGAATAAAATTCAGCTCCTATTTTTTCCTTCCACACTATGATCCTGAAGTAAACAACAAATACAATCCACTAATTCATGATACAGAAGAATTAGTTCTGTCTGAAAAAATGCAACGAGCACGCAATCATCATTTAAATACACATTTGAATAGCTTGACTGAAATTTTAGCCAGTGAAACACAAAATGAATTTGAAGCAGGTAAGTTTCAGTTTTTTCTTGTGAACTCTTCGTAATACATATCACTTTCGTTGTTTTAGCTCTGGAAAAAACCAAGCCAACTTGGACACCATCGTTTCGAACATATTTTGAAAATAATCATTTAGAACAAGTTGATCAATTGGGTAAGACCATGAAACAGTCACTTGTCCAAGATGAATGTCTGAAATATTTTTGTCTTTCGTAGGAAAATGAAGTCTTATTCAATACGGAGTATGGAATCAAGTTACAAATTCGCCACCAACTTCAAATGCTGCTGAAAGCATTAATGTAGCAGTGAAAAAATGGTTAGATTATAAAGAAGTATGTTAGTACCGTTGTCGTAGAGAGTTATTGATTTATATCGCACTTTACTCTTTTTCTTTCTAGCAATCAATCGATCGTTTCCTCGCTTTTTCTTACCCTTTTATGGGCTATTACGTTAATGAACTCCGTAGAGGATATTGTCAACTGAGTAAGCGCCTATTCTGGTTAACTTGCACACCTTTAAAACAAACGTTCTCAATTTCTTAGGTACATATACATTACGAGTAGAATACCGTCGATTTGTCGGTGACCCTAATCTGTTGCAACCATTAAATCTTACACAATTGAACAAATATTAGTCAATATCAAAGAATGTTTGGCGGAACAAACAAACAAGAAATACAACTGAACCTTTGGTAAGTGAGTTTTGCAGTAACTTTTTTCGTCGTTAGAAGTACCTTTGATTTCTTTCTTAGACTACTTCAACGAATCTTTATGCCAGCGATGCATCTGCCATTGAAAACAACGAAGAAACGAATGAAAATTTGAATACAACAACGACAACAACCTCATCACCGGCTTCAATATTCGAGAAACAATCAAACAACACTGTCATAAGACAAAGCATAACCGTCGAAGAAAAAGCAAAAATGATTATTGATCAAAAATTAATTACATTTGATGCAGACAGTAAAGTATTTAATATACGGTCGATGGATCGAAGAAATTGCTATTGTGTGCATTTCCACGATCCCACATTTTTACTCAAGTGCAGTTGCGGTAATCGATTGCAAAACTGCTCTCATGTAAGTGGTACGCTTACTAATTTCCACTTAATTATTTTTCTCTTTTTTCTTGTTGCGTAGGTCTCGGCAGTCAAAATCTATTTCGGAATGCATTTATCAGATCGTGATCGACAAATAAATTTAGGTGAAGCACGAAAACGAAAACGCCTGCAAGATAAAGAAGGAGGAAGCGGTACCAAGTGTCCAAATACGGGTAGGTGATATTTTTATTCGAGGAGCTTCGTAGTCCCCCTAATCGGTCTTAGTGAGGAGAGATAGCATTTTAAAGAAGCTACATCAACCGAAGAGAATTTACTTTATGAACACATTGCAAATGCACTTTTCTTCGTTCAAAAACAGGAGTTGAATTTTATTCAGAACATGTCTTCGTAAAGCTACTTCGCAAAGGGATATTCATTTTCCTGAGTGGAATTTTTTTTGCTGTTTGCGAACACGTCTTCGCAAAGGAAATATTTCTTTTTGCGACGATGTGTTCGCAAACAGCAAAAAAATTCCAGTGTATATAGTCAGGAAAATGAATTTCCCTTTGCGAACACCTGTTCGAAAAGGCGAATAAAATTTAAGTCTTTGTTTTTCAAAGGTGAAAAGTGCATTTGCAAAGACGTGTTCGTAAACGGGAAAAATACTTATTTTTTGGTTCCTCGTTTGACAATCATTTCATCATTTTAACGTTTCTTTTAGCTGATCGTGCTGCCGCAAAACAATATAAAGCGGAAGTAACTAAACGACAGAAAACTACATCGACACAGCCTACTACGACTCAAATTTCTCCATATTTTCCTGCTGCGTCAACCACATCGACTAATTTGAATACAATAACAGCAACATTTAATGCTCAAAAGCGTACACCGTTTCAAAATTTAGTCAATATTGTACCTACTCAGAATTCGACATCCATAATTTCTCCACGTATCATTCTCATACCGACCTCTTCGTCGTCCTCAGCAACACAACAACATAACACTTTTATTGTACGAACAGTTAATCAACCGTTCGTTAATCCAATGTGATCATCATAACAGTTAGAACTGCACTAACAGCGAATAATTGTACATAAGAAGAGGTGAAAGAAAAGATTTTTGAACATGTATTTTTTCATTTTCTTTTTGTTGTTTCTGTTGTCGTTTTTGAAAAGAATTTTTTATTATTCTATTTTTTTATGCTGCTTTTATACCTTTGATGTGATAATAATAAGAAATGAATAGAAGAGCAAGAACGTAGAAAGAATTTTTTCTGTGTTTCGAGACATCTCTATACTAAAAATTTAGCGACTCTAGTTTCTTTTTCTTTTTTTCAGAACAAAACCTTGAAAAATGCCGTTCAAACCTGTTCTGCCAGTTTAATATCCAACAACAGGTGAGATTTTCTTCTGTATCCTATTGACAGAATTTCTAATATTTTCATTCAATTTTAGATGATCTGATTGATCACGTAATTGATTATGTTACAAAACCACCGCACAGTTGGCCTCCAATTCACGGAACGTCGCCCAACCAGATACATCAAACACGTTTATTAAAATTTTACAATGAATGTAAGTGCACTCGAACGAGAACTATGACTTTTCTTTAACGTTTATCTATCTCTTTTTTAGGTAAACAAAATAATGATCTTAGTGTTTATCGTCCAAAATCTGGAAATTATGTATATCGTGTTCAAAAGAGTACTAAAATCGGTCAATATATTCTGGTAGTTGAACAAAATGTGAAACAATTACCAGGAGATGAAAAGAAAACAACCGCACCAGATAAAAGTAAGTTCGTCGGCCTTCTTATATATATTTTATCGATCAATCGTTTTTGGTTACTAGGGAGTCGTCGGGTTTTTCTACGCGAAGAACTTGTTCGTATTATGATTACATATTTTATTAAAGAAGGAGTTCAAAATGGACGTCCACCGTCGAATAATTCATTCAATGAATATTACAAAAAGAACTTCTTTATTGTCAGAGAGAAAGTCGATCCGGTTCTTGACTATATGTAAGTTTATTGTATTTCTGTTTTTTGCTCATTTTTTCTTCGAATTTTAACTTTTTATGACATTTATTTTAGATTTAAATTAGTTGAATTTGAACATTATGAAGATAGTTCATCGGATAATGATGAAGAAAACGATGATAATCGAAAAAAGAACAAAGGTGAGTGCTGAGGGTGCTAACTTTGTTATTGCCTTCCACTTCTGCCTATTTTTTTGTTTCTTTTCCATCTTTCAAAGCTACAACAGCCGTTACGACACCGAAACCAGTTCCAACTTCTCGTGCTTCAACTATTCCAACTCCAAAACAAGTTCTGAAACCATCAGCTAAAGTTAATTCGTATGTCTATGAAGTTTTATTGATCATTTATGTACTAATTTCTGTTTGAGTTTTCTTTCTGTCTTTTCAGTCAATCAAAACGTCAAGCGGCTGATGGTGATGATCAAAGTACAAGTGTCAAAAAGACGAAGAAAGATGAAACTAGTGAGCTACAAGGGCGAAATTGTTTTCTTAATAAGACAGGTTATCTTTTTCTTATTTTAGGTAAACCAAGTACGTCGAGGATTTCTGGAAAACAACAACGTGGTGCTACTGCTGCTAGTAGAACGATTTCTCCACCCTCAAATTCACCACAAACAACATTTCAACGTACACTACGACCAAGAAAAAAATGAAATACAAATTAATCAAAACGATATTGAACGATTGTAAAGATATTGTTCAAAGGATCCCTATTTTCATTTATAATTGTCGTTCTTTTCCATTTTTTTGTATCTATTAACGTTTCTACCTTTCATTAGTAGCAACTTTGAGATTTGCATGTTCACTTTTGTTAGATATATATGTCTAGTCAAGATTTTGTTATATCTGTGATTTATTTTTGTACAAGTCATATTTTTTTCTATTTTTGGTTCAGTTAGAGAAATCAGATATTTTTCCATGTATTTTGTTAGAGTTAGTTATTGTTAAAGGTTTTGTAACTTCCATTTGTTAAATGTTTTGTTGTTTTGAAAATAAAGAGTTGTGTTTTAGCAGAAAGAAAGTGAATGCTCTTAGGCGAAGACTCTTAAGTATGAATCTGTACACAAGAATTGAGTATTTAATGAAAACAGCAAAAAACACACACTGCCACAAGAATCTATAAACACAGACTGCCGCAAGAATCAACCTTGTATCATTTTTAGTTTTTCAGAAAAGTACAAATTAGTATGTCAAAAATGTCACAGTATCGATCATAATCCTGAATTTATCAGCAGAAATCCATGTTTTGAAGTCAGCCAATCAGCGTCGTTCAGCAATTCAGCATTCAGTAAAAAAATTCAGCGTTTTAGTATTACCCCATTTAGTCGATTTTTATATTTTGTGATTTGAGTGAGAAAAGGTGTCTCTCAGTCACATACTGATAATCTACCAGTATACATAAAATTTTAAGCTCTATCCGAATTTGAATGTATTACATTTCGGAAACGCGTATTGTCAGAAATATACGCGTTGCAAGAAAAATTTAATTAAGACAAAAACTCGCTTTTCGACTTAATTACTAAATTCTAGGTTCTAATTTTAGTCTCATTAGATAGAGCACGTAAAATTACATATGTTTTACCCGGCTTTCTCGTTGGGAACATGATGCACTCATTTCAGGTTCAACTAGAGATTGATCTCAAAATAAGTACATACAGAGCAAAGTTCTTGATGTCTTGTAGCTCTTTCTTTCAATGCTGTTTACTTACTCTAAAGTTATCATTCAGCTTATTCCATTTTTCGTATCTTTTATATATATACGCGTGTCTTCACTGGAAAACAAAAATGTGTTTTTTTCACTTCTCACATGTTTTGTCGAACGTACCACATATAGGTCGATATTTGTTATATACTTCCTTGAATACCAAACGAAAATTTTTCTTATATGATAAACGTTTTTTTCTCATTCAGGTAACACGCAGATATGTGCGATTTGCGCTAATATTGTACGGTATGAGTGAAAATTTCGAAAAAAATAAACTTGAATTAGATCTTTTTTCCGTTATTAGGTTATATAATGCTAACATTGGTGATTAAGGAAAAAACGTTTCGCAACACTGTCAGTCTCTTTGTTCTCTTAAAATTCAGCTTTTTCTTTAACATAGCTACTATCCGTTCCAAAAAGCAAGGCCGGTCATTATATTTTGAATAACTCGAAGGGAACACAAGATGAAGACTTGCGTTTTTCACCATTCGATGGCCAAGACTTGAAGCTATCTTTTCATAAGCAAAAACAGATTTCGGAAAATTTTTTTAAGCCGGTTTTCCAGAGGATCTTTGGAAAACCAATTCGGTTCTCTGAAAACTGACATATAAACGTAGGAGCTTTTTCTCATAGATATATGGCCTGAAGTGTCCTCTACAAAACTGAATCTAAGCGACATTCTGGAAATCTATGGTTCAGGAGCTATGGACGTTTTTATAGGTTATCGACTATGCTGAATCTTATGGCAATGTTTGTTTTCAGAACAAAATGCAACAACCGAGTGAAAACCTACAGGATGTCTCATAAGTCACTGAACGACTTTGACTGTGAATAACTTTTGATAGGAGCAAGATAGAGACCTGCGCTTTCCGCCATTCGAAAGACGAGACTTGGAGGCATGTTTTCATAATCAACATTATTTTCAGAAGAGTTTTCTGAAATAGTTTTCTAGGAGACCTTTGAAAAACTAGGCCGTCTGTAAAGATTTTCCAATAAGATTGTATCGATTTTTTCTCATGGGCTGATAGCTTGGGATGTCCTCTCCAAAATCAAGATAAAGTGAGACCTTGGTTTTCCATGGTTCGGGCGCTGTATCGGATTTTCTACGAGTCCCAGGACTGGCGCCCGATGACTATTGGTAGCCTTAAAGACTGATGGACTATGGGTAATCGACCATGCTGAGTTTTGTGGAAATATTTATATTTAGAAAAAGTTCTAAAAATCTACCGAAAAGCCAGTTTCACGAAAATTAGGGTTTCCAGGCTATTTTCACGTAATATTAAAAAATTCACTATTCACTCACCAAACATCAGAACAAGCTCAAAACTTCAGAATGTAGAGTATTTAAGCTATTCTATATCCCATTCATAGGAGATCTCGAAACAAATTTTAGAGAACCCTCAGGTTTTCCAAAACGGTTTTTGGAAAATCTATTAACTAAAAGTTTTTCAATTTTTCCGATCTTATAATCACGTTTAGCGGAGAACATTAATCGTATCCTGAGATTTTGAGCTTGTTCTGATGTTTTTTGAGTGAATAGTGAATTTTTTAATATTAGGTGAAAACAGCCTGGAAACCCTAATTTTCGTAAAACTGGCTTTCCGATAGATTTTTAGAACTGTTTCTAAACATAAATATTTCCACAAAACTCAGCATGGTCGATTACCCAAAGTCCATCAGTCTTTAAGGCTACCAATAGTCACCGGGCGCCAGTCCTGGGACTCGTAGGAAATCCGATACAGCGACTGTTGAGAGTTAAACGGAGCCAGTTAGAATCAGAATTTTGTGCTCTTTCGGAATATATGTTTGGATTTGTTTTCTATCTTAATGTTGATCAATTGTGAGCCAATGTTTGAAAGAACCAAAATTAAGTCTGTAGAGATACTTTCTTTAATACTTACTTAACTCAAAACATGCAACATTCTTTAAAACAGCAGCTTTGCAGAGCAAAGTTCGCTCTACAAAATCGCTCTATCTACTTTTCTTTTTCTCTCGGACAAAAATGTATGTTTCTTTTTATGTAATGTTTCTTTTTTTCTGACATAGAGCACAAGGTAACGCTCGTCTTCACTCGCTCGGTCCCTTGACTTTATTACGTTGGATCTGCGCAAGCGAACGCTCTTTGGTGACTTAAAAATCAAACACAATGCTCAGACCTCCCTTCGGCCGGCGCTCGCTGGAGACCTGCCTAAGACGTCTTCTGGACTTTTTCTGTTTTCATGTGTAAGGTTCGGAGTCTAATATGAATATAAAGAGCAAAAATCTCAAGTGGTCTAAAACTATTTCTGAATTTAAAACAATCCTCATGCTTCCCTTCTGTCGGCATTCGCAACCAGTATAGATGAGAAATGCTATGAACTTCTCTGGTTCCACCGGAAAACCATCTAATGTAATATAAAGCTAAAAGGTTTTTTGCACACGCTCTGCACATCCCAAAGAGGTTGGAAGAATTTCTAATCGATTTGTTATAATAGATTATCTATACACTGTCAATTTTATTACCCGTATACCACTTTTTTTGTATTGTCACAGTTGACTGCTATCTGGCGACATCTACCGCTCGGCCTACAGAAAACGCTTGCTTAGCTGTTTACCTCTCTGCATCAGTACATATTTCAGATGATCTCTTTGAATATTTCCTCTCTTATGTAAAAAATGATTTTCTACTGTTGTCTTTTGTGATTCGCTTATCCACAGAATATCTGACAACCATTTTTCCGTATTTTGCGCACACACACACACACAAACACACAGACAACTATTTTGTAAGACCCAAGACTAAAGTCAAGGGAACAAAAAGTAGAAAAAAATTGAGTATCATACTAGAGAGATCTGCTGTTGATGGAAATAATTGTTGCATTCGTTTGTTGTTGCTTCGATTGAGATTCAACGAAATGATTTCGTTACAGTCTTTTACAGGATTGTTGTAACGAAGTGTATATAACTTTTGAAATGGAATGATGTGTGATTGTACTCATTCACTCTCACTGTTTCTATCTGTTTTCTCTTTCATTTACAATAAGAAGTAACATTCGTTACGAAAGCCCTGTTAGTGATCATTAGTGACTGACTATTTCATAGAGAGGATATGATCCGATTAATAGTGTTTCGAAGCCCCTGTAATAAGTCAATTTACAGGGCTTTCGGATTACGCAAGACCTGTAAAAAAAGAGGGTTTTGAATGAAACGCCACCGCTTTTCAAAACTGCATTTTTACGCTTTTTTATACGAACATAAGTTTAAGGTACTTGTATTTTGTTCGAGCCCTTCACGATTTTTCTTCATCAAACTCTATTCAGTCTGCGAAAGATTCCAGAGGCATTTTTCTATTGTTTGTCTAGAACATTTCGGTAAGTCTGATCCAATCGACGTTTTGTGGGCTTTCGTAGATTGAATGCGGGAAAGGTGGTAGAGAGCTCGAGCATGGTTTATTTTCTTCAGAAATTTTCCTCTATAGCACTGACTTGTTTATTAAAGGTTCTCGATCGAACTCACAGGTCTGGGAGGCTTGGTTTTCCAAAGATTCTATTGCCATCAGTGTTGATGAAATTTTCGCTTACACTTTTCCTGATAGGAAACTCTCTTCTGGTACTTTACCAGTAAGAGAGTTTCCTATCAGGAAACGGCTTCTTCACTCCCTACTGGATCATTCCAATGCAGACGCCTAATCTACCTGCCCTTTTTGGTTTTCTGAGAACAAGCGAATTTACATCAGTCGCTACTTTTGACAAGTCAGCCAGTCTTTCACTTATGGATATCGAAATTGGTTCTCAATCATCAATGGCTACTCTCTTACTAAGAAATACAAAAACCGATCTGTTCAAAAAACGGGTAAAACTACACCTGTTTTCAAGTTCTGGACGAATTTCTCTAGTTTCAACGCTAATTCACTTTTTCTCAATTCGATCAAACCTATTAGCCACGTCAGAGTATCCTCTCTTTCTAACA